TGCTAATCTAAATTGTTGTCTATGTAATGTATTACGTACTAAACATTATAAAAGTAAAGGCAGTCCTGGAGATCTGCTTTATAATCGGAAGCTAAAAACAAGAATAATCGACTCCACCACCACAGACTAGACATGGCACTAGAGAAGCACACCGCACGGCCACCCCAGATATAAGGTGGGTCTCTGGGTTTTTGCGGCCCAAACAGTATAAGTTCGACTTTTTCTCTGAGTTTAACATCAGAAAATTGCGCCATCGGATTTTCATGTACCTTGAAGACAGTGCTATAGTAGTTAATTAGCATCAACTAATATGAAAATACATACACAATACAATGCGCCTTCCGATTTGTAATAGACCAACTAGAGGGCAACTATGGGTCGCTAAAATTCAGCCGCCATCAGGCGACTCCCATCCATCACCACGCGCTCATCAGCGACCACAGATTCTCCAAACCCCAGCTAGATAGAAAGGCATGTCGGTTTTTCATAAACTCACCCCCTGAGTCCAACCGCAGCAAGGAGCCTATTTTTGGCACTCATTTATTTATCTGCCTTATTTCACGTTAAGTAGTTTACAACGTAGTTTAGTTTAGTTTAGTTTTTAGTTTTTAGTCCAAGTTTAAATTTTCTGGCTTCGATATTTTGGACGCTGTGTCAACTGCATTTCCTCCTCTAGCGGGATAACTAAAGGACATGTATCCTTATGCCATTGACACCTTACAGTGCCACAACTACCAAATAGATACAGTCGGTCGATCCGTCTCTGTCCTCGTTTTTGTAATCCGTGGGTTCAACCCCCCATGTAAAGCCGCCCTTTCTGTCTGTTTTCAAAAACCCTCTGAAATACAAAAAATAAGTTTGTATTCCTACATGATAGAAAGAAAACATGAAGAATACTAAAAAAATATGCAAAATCCTCTTTATTTGAAAAGACCAACGAGGACATCAAAACAAGATCAACTGTCCCTTTGAAAGGCCACGTGGCAGTCGAGGAAAGGGACGTTTTAAGATTTACTTCCCGGGATACACAACAAGACAGAAAACAAGAGGTCACACACACCACCAACAACACGCCCAAACAAAGGCACAGAACAAAAACGGATAAGTCACCGAGGAAGAAAATATAAGGAAGGAAAAGAGAAATAGAAAACAAGGAGCCAGGTACCAAATAAGCAGAGAGAACAAAAAAACACATACACAACAACATATCTCACGCTGCCGGATTCGTACAAACAATATATATAAAACAAAAAATGTGAGTTAACACCACAGAGCGGGAGTATGAGGTGACAATATCAAGGGTACACTAGGAGGCAAACCCAGATTAAAAACCACTTTAATGCATTTAATGACCTCAACACCGGCTTAAGTATCCTTACGTTATCTGATATTTATCATGTGTGGGGTTTTCAGCCTTGTCCTCCCTTTTTCGACTTGTTGAAAAAAAGTAAACCTTTGCGTTTGTCGTGTTCTAGAAACGTTGGGCCTCCTGTAATTCAAAAATGAAGTTATTCGTTCTCCATGAACAAATGAGATAACAGGTCGTGTAAACAGACTTTCAGATGACCAAAAGAAGCAAAGAAGTTTTTCTTCAATCCATTTTAAATGCCTACTTTTTTAAACTTAAATTTTATACCAATTTAAGAAATTTTATAATTTTTTTAAAAAACACTCCAATTGCAACAAATGACCTACCACTGTTCAAATCAGCCTGCTGCAAATAAAAAAATCCTGTTTTTGCCACGGAAACGCAATCAGTTAATAACTAATCAATAATTACCATCTAGAAAAAAAAGAGTACAGAAAGTATAACTTTCTCCTATAAAACTTAATGTTGACTACTAATTGAAAGGCATTTCTTTTACCATTAAGGTTTGCCTGCCTTTTCCAGTCCAAGAAATTAAAATAAGATTTGTATTGATTCCCGACACTCCGCCTTGTACACAGCTGTTCAAAGGTGCAAAAAATTGAAAAATATAAAAGTCCTGTTTATTATGTGGGTACATAACAACTTTCTTTTATCATTTTTCTTTCTATCTTTACTTTATTTTACAATAAAATAGCATTAAAAGTTTACTATATTTATAAAAAAACTTTTTAAATTAAAATCAACTAATACTACAGATCTTCAAAAAAAAAATACCATACTTTAAGTTTTGGCACAGAACAAAATTTACCACAGAAACCTGAAATATTCTTCGCAGACTCCACTGAGACAAAACACAAAAAATAAAAAAAATAAATGACACACAATCGATAATATATCTTAAAACAATGTTTGTATGTAAAGAAAGAAAATTTATATATTCTGTATAACTGACCAGTAAAGGCCATCGTAACATAAAACAATAATCTTTAACGACTTTTTCCACTTCCTTCCAGAAATATGGTGAAAAGTCATTTTGTTAAAATCTAAATATTACCTTTTAAACTTTTTCGATACTCTACTTTTTCCAATCCAAGGCGCCGCACAGTTAAAAGTCAAGTTTGTGATAATTTCTTAAGACAATCGTCATATTTAAGCAGCTGTTATCTCCAACAACAGTATTTTTAATAATGTTCTTCATCGTCCTTCGGTTTTTACAATCCAAATAATAATGGCGTTTGCTTTGAGTTCCCTTGAAACCTCGTCTCTGTTCTTTCCCCCTTCTCTGATCAGAAGAACAAGGAAGCCAGTTCTTTTTTCAACTTTTTTGGAAAAGAGCAAAATTTGCCGACCAAACAAAATCCCGAAGTTAAGATTTCTTGGCTTTAAGAAAATGAACGTCCCCAATAGAAAGATAAGCCGCGGGACGCACACACCGCCCTTAATAACAGGTTTAACGAACGCAATGTTTAAGGGTAGAAAAACTGTTTGGAAACAACGCCTGTTTTTTGACTGATTTCTGATTTCTTTAACAAAGAGCCCGGACTGCCTTTGGATTCACAATTTCTCCAACCCCTTCACCTGGTGTGGTGTGAATCAACTTAAAACCAACTCCAGCTGTTTTCAAAGCACCCTTGGAATTTAAACCCAACGCTTTTTTTCAGGAAACTTCTGATTCTTTTTGTCTTCCCTCAAGAACAAAACACATGGCCTTCGTTTCATGTCTTTTGGCAGCAACAACTGGGGCGCAAGCTGTTGGTCGTTGGGCGGTCGCAAAAGACTGCCGTGACAAGCCTACTTTTTGTTGCTCAAAGTCCCCGTTTTCTAAATAGCTCTCTTGGTTGTCTTTATGTTAGTTACCGAACAGAGAAAGTATTTCGGTGGTGTTAAGTTCTGCTGCCACCTTGACAGCCTGCCTTTCAAGCCTCCAGCAAAAGCCATGGGGGACGGAAACTTCAATTTAAAGGGAAACCACATAGAAAAATAGTTTTTTCCAAAGTTTTAAAAAAAAGTTAAAGGAAATATTGCTTTTCAAAACAGAAAATGTTTTGCCCCCTGTAAAGCCCTTCAAAAATAATTGAAGCGTGAAAGGGGGAAAAACCCAAGAAGATTTTTTTTTGTTTTCCTTTTAAATAATCCCCCAATCTGGGAGGCCGTTAAAAAATCGGTTTTAATCTAGAGAGACAAGAAGGACGCTGCTTGGAGAAAGACAATTTGGTTCTGCTCCCAAGATTTTTTTTGGCCCTTTCCTGCCTTAATATAATGTGTGTATGCGACTAAATAACCGTGTTGGAATCGCAACCCCAGTGCAAACATGAAAGGAGAGAAACAATCCTTGTGTCCCGCAAGGAAAAACCTTTTTTTTAAGAAATATTGAAAACACAATTTTGCATTAATTAATAGACAATAAATGGGATTGTTTTTAAATGAAAGGTAAGAGAGTTTGTTTTTAGGGTTTTTATTGTGGATTTTTTTTAAATATATATTAAAGTATTGAAGTATGAATTTAGTCATGAGAGAAAAAAAATCTCAATGTGTGAAGCGTGAGTCTAACGGAGAAATTAACTCTTAATTAACATCTAAATTTTAAATGATTGAAAAGTCCTTAAAAAATCAGAGCAGCTCCTCAGCCGGGTCTGCAACTAACGATTGTTTTCATCTTCGATTATTTTCTAGATTAATCAATTAATCGTTCGATCTCTAAAATCTCAGAAAATAGTGTTTCCAAGGTGACTTTTCTTTAAATGTCTTGATTCGTCAGTCCGAAACCCGAAGATATTCACTTTAATGTGATATAAAACAGAGAAAAGCAGAAAACCTCCACATTTGAGATTCTGGAGACACAATTTATTATCAAAATAACCGTTACAGCTCTGATGTCGACACATCCATCTCCATCTTCGTATGAAGCCCCGGTGGTGTGATTGAAAGCTCTGGAAAAAGCAGGAACTGAACCTTGCTTCCACGTTCAAGAGTAAAGTTTCCAGCTCAAAGATAAACTGATTGCTGAAGTTGTGGCTTTGTAACAATGATAGGTTTGTTCGTAAAAATGTGTTTTGTGTAATTTCAGCTCTAAAGTCTGAGAAAGTTCAGCTCGTGGCCTGTGGAAGAAACCACACTCTCATCTGCACAGGTCGGTATCCGAGTCTGACGAGTTCCGACGCCGTCATTCGGAAACACGACTGAGGAATCCGTTTTGTTTCCTTTTGTAGCTCAGGGAAAAGTGTTCGCCTCGGGCGGGAACAGCGAGGGTCAGCTGGGGCTCGGCGACTGCGAGGAGAGGACAGCCTTCCAGAGGATCGCCATCTTTGATTCACACGGACCAATCAAAATGCTCGCTGCCGGTTCCAACACCTCCGCTGCTCTCACAGGTGACATTCTGACTGATGATTAAATGCATTTGTTACATTTACTATGTTCACATATGTTTTATGGATGATGTCTTTATCTACTAACCCTTACAGAGAGCGGTAAACTGTTCATGTGGGGCGACAACACGGAGGGTCAGATCGGTTTGGGGAAGGAGAGCCACGCCTCCTCGCCACAGGAAGTCAACGTGGGACGACCAATCAGCTGGGTGTCCTGCGGATACTACCACTCTGCCTTAGTGACGGGTGAGCACAGACGCACAAAATTGAGCTTAAACGTTAATTCTGGACCAGTTGATGGTTTGACAAAACATTCTTAACTCAAGATCCGCTTCCTCCGGAGCTTTCAGCCAAATTTTGTGGTCTTCATCAAGCAGATGGCGTTTGCTCAGTTGTGATCACGTGACAAAGCTGCCTTATGAAATGAGTAATTTAACAAACACAACAAACTACATCCACTGATGAAGACCATGAGGTGTGGCTGAAAGCTTCTCAATCAGGAATGAACCTTCAAACTCAACTTTGCAATTTTGTTTGGTTGTTGAAGCTGATCGAAATTAAAACCAAATTCTAATTTCTTGTGGAAACGGAGACTTTATGGTCAGTTGTCCTCTGTATCTCAGTCGACGGAGGTCTGTACACGTTTGGCGAGCGAGACAGCGGCAAACTGGGTCTGGGCACGGACCAGCTGGCCCGGCACAGAGTCCCTCAGCTGGTGAAGAGCATCAAGGAGCCGGTGATACAGGTGGCCTGCGGAGGCGGACACACGGTGGCGCTCACAGGTAGTGAACCTCCAGAGTGACATAGCTTTAAAAAAACTACAAACATGGCTGCACACATCTGAGCTCCATTTCTACATCTGATCAAATACTGTGCTTTTGTCCGTCTGTGTCCTTCTTTCAGACGACGACGTGTTCACGTTCGGTCTCGGTCAGTTCGGACAGCTCGGTCACGGGACGTTTATCTTCGAGTCACGGCTGCCGCGGCCCGTCGAGCACTTCAGGAAGGGACGAGTGTGTCAGGTGACCTGTGGAGAGAACCACACTGCTGTCGTCACAGGTGAACACTGCCTTTATTTCACCACCACCTCTGATTTAATTGATTGTCTCATTAACTTATATTGAATTGTTGCTGTTGTTTTTTAAGACTGCGGTTTGCTGTACACGTTTGGAGACGGCAGACACGGCAAACTGGGCCTGGGAGAAGAAAACTTCACTAACCAGTTTAAACCAACTCTGTGTCCGCGGTTCCTCAAGTACAACGTTCAGGCAGTACGTGTCTTAGTCTTACTAAAAATACTTAATATATATTTTTTTTTAATCATTTTTTAATTTATTTCAGTTGCTTTACTTTACATACTTTTTAATGTTGTTATTTTATATTTTTGTTTATTTTTATGTAAAATAGTAACATCTTTTTATATTTTTTTATGTATTTATCCCGTACATATTATTATATTTTGATTCATTGTTATTTATTTTTCCATGTTTATTTTTTTACAATATGTTTTTATGTCTTTATAAAATGTTAATTTTATTGTTATCAGTATGATTATTTATTGTATTTTATATATTCTAAATGAATTATTTTGTATTTACATTTAATGTAGTTATTTATCAGTCGGTTGATATTTACTTAGTTTTTATTATTACTATCAACATTAGAAATTGATATTTGTATCTTGGTACTAATGTGTGTGATACAGTAATCTTTAATAACAAGGTGTGTGTTTGTACAGGCGACGTGCGGCGGCTGTCACATGGTGGTGCTGGCGCGGCCGAGGGATCCCGAATGCGGCGATGTGATTTTGGAGGACGACGACGTGACGGAAGATTTCCTGGAGAAGCCGTGCGTGGAGCTGCTGGGGGGGACGGCTGACTCCTCCACCCTGCAGAGGAGCCTCTCTGCTCGGGTTCGCAGGAGGGAGAGGGTGGGTACAGCTCCATCGATCAAACCAAGATACGATTCACAAAACAGCGCTGATACACAAATCTCATTTAATACAGACTTTCTTATATCGAATTTTAACATTCAAACAAGTTAAAAAAGTTAATAGACCTCTGAATGAAGTCCCCCCCCAATTCCCCTGCAGGAAAGATCTCCGGACCAGTTCGGTGCCATGTTCCGCACGCTGCCCGCCATGATGTCTGGCTACCTTCACCCTCCGCTGCCCATCTCCAGCCAGACCATCCCGCCTAGACTGCCTCCGCCTGAGCTGAGCCACAGAAAGGTGCTCAACGGCACTCACCAACACAGGAGCGCAGGGTCAAACCACCAGGGTACCTACCTCACCTCCGCACCCTCCTCCTCCTAGTCCTCCCTCTCATGTTTCCTCCTGGATCAGACCGACAGATTCAGCATTTTAATTAGGACAGAAAGAACAAAACTTTGCTCTAGTTGAATCAAAATTAAATCAGAATTGATTTGTCGAGCATTTTTTTACAGGTAAGTGCAACTCCTGGGGCTTTACAGATAGCTGACAAGCTGATAATAAGGCAAAAGCAAACAGGAAATCAAAAAAATATATATTTTAATAGAAAGATGGAAGATTAAAATGTGATTTAAAAGGATAAAAGTGAAAGAAAAATGGTAATAAAATAGATGGTAGATCATAGCATTTGAAAATGATAAAAATCAATTTGCCATAAAACATTTGAAACAAGGCTAAAACGGTAGGATTTGTGTTCAGATTTAAAGATTTCAGCTGCTTTCAGATCTTCAGGTGAAAGTTGTCTCACCAAAAGCTATAGCAAAAAGACAAAAACAGCTTAAATTGGGGCACAATGCCTTCATTTCTAAAGAATAAAAAGGCTTTGACACGCTGAGATCAGGATGTTTTATAATGTTTTGCTGTTTTCTGAAGTGCTGCAGAAAACCCGACTAACTTGCTGTCCCGTTTTCTACCTCGTCAGAGCAGACAGGGGGCGAGACAGACAGCGTTGTGGAGAGCCTGACCGACACCGACAGCGTTAAAGGCCTGGGAGACACCACAGACTTCCTCAACATGGTGAGAAACCAGCGAGTCCGACCGAAATGAAACCTGAGAAGTGTAACATTGTGGATTCATTTTCCTTTTCTTTTTGTTATTCCTGCTGATAGACACATGTGATGAAGATGGACCCCAGTGATAAAACACTCACTCTGTCTCCAGTTCAGAAGGTAACTCAAACTCTGGCTAGAGCTAATAGGTTTGAGCATTTTTCACATTAACAGCAGCCATATTGATTCCTCGCTTCCCCGTCATTCTTCTCATTGTTGCACAATTCTTCTCCTCAACACCAGTTTCTCCTCCATCAGCTCGATATCTGAGGTTGTTTTCTTTCTTTATACTGATAATCCTCAATTAGTCATGTGACTTTACAAGAGAAATATGACCCTTCCTAAGTCCCGCCCCTTTTTGCTCTGTGCTCCAATAACAGTTGAGAAAGTCGGTCAACTTCCTCCTGTCCTGTAAAATACTACACCACCTTGCAGTTTTTTTCAATCAATGATTGGTCAATCGCAAATTTGTCAATTTATGAATATTAGCTTGCTAGTTAGCAAGCGTGTTTCATCAAAAATCCTTCTGAATTCTTCTCTCTGGTTCACCAGAGTTCAAAGACAACCTCATATACCACTTTGGTAAAAGGAAGAGAAACCAAAAGGTTTGAGGAAGAGTTGTGAAACCTGATGAACATTTTCCATTATTCCATCATACATTTCAGATTTTCTCTTTTGATTTCTCTTTTCCTCTCTAATGCATGCCTCTTTTTCATCCTCTTCTTGCTTTCTCGTGCTGGGGATAGAGAAAGGGTAAGCATGGTAAAGGGCAGAAAGAGAACCAAAAAAAGGAGAGAAAGCTCTTGAAGGAGAGCAGTTTCTCTTCCACTTCCCCGTCTCAGAAGAGCGAGACTGTTTCTCCTCGCCGGGCGTTACCCACTGAGCTCCTGAGGGGCCACAACGCTCGCTCTCTGGCCTCTCAGAGCTCACAGAGACAGAAAACAGCCATCCAGAACAAAGAGAATCTGATCATGGCCATAGAAGATCTGCAGAGGACACCCAGTAAAAACAAACCTCCGAGTGTAGGGGACATTAGGAAGGCAGCGTCCAAACAGCGGCTCAGGCATGTTCAGGGGAAAAGCCAGCTGATAGAGGTTGGCAGGAAGCTGCTACCAGACTCTGAACAAAGTCCTGAACCAAAAAAGACAGAATCTGAATCTGAATCTGCGTTGGCCAAAGTGAAGCAAGTGCAGCCTCAACCTGTCAGGGTGAAAAGCAAACCGATAGTTGTGCAAAGTCAACGTGCAGGAGTTAGCTCGCCAGGGAAACGCAGTCGCACAGACTCACCTGAGTTTCATCTGAGTGACGCCTTGAATGAAGAGAGCTTACGTAGCCCTCGGCTGCTCTCTGAGGTGAAAAAAAACTCAGATGAGAAAAACAAAAAAGAGGCTCAGTCAAAAAAAGGCTCTAGAGTGGCAACACAAAAACAGAAAGGGGCGTCAGACCTCGGCCTGCTCGCTGGAGCAGCCTCTCTCGCAGCGGGATCGGTATTAATGCACGAGGTGGCCTCCAGAAGACGTTTTAGCTCGGCGTCGCCATCCCCATCCGAGAGCAGCCGGGGCATCCTGAAAGACAGCATCACAAAATCCCAGAGCGAGGAATCTGAATCCTACGCTGCCGATTTTAGCAACAAATCTGCGATCAGCATCAACATCATACCTGCAGCTGAGAGTCAGGACGAGAAGGAAACGAGTCCGGATGAAAGTGAGGAGGAGAGTAAGGAGCAGACGCACTCTGCAATGGGCAAACAGGAGGAGGAGGAAGAGGAAGGGCAGAGAACGAGTGCAGAAGTAAGCGAGCAAGAGGAGGAGGAGGATGAGGAGGATGTCAGTAACAGTGTCGAGAAAGTAACAGAAGAAGAAGAAGAAGAAGAAGACAAAGACAGTGACACTCTTCAACCAGAAGATGAGTCAGAAACTGATGTAGATGAGGAGGAAGATGAGAGTGGTGCTGAGGTAGAGGAGGAGGAAGAGGAGGAAGAGGAGGAAGCGAGCGGAGCGGCAGGAAGTGAAAGTGTAGACGAGACTGAGGAGAAAGAGAGCAAAGGCAGTGATGTAGAGGAGGAAGAGGAGGAGGAGGAGGAAGAAAACGAGAAAGGGTTGAGTCAGGAGATAGAAAGCAAAGGAAGAGAGTCTGAAAATTATGAGGAAGGTGAGGAAGAAGAGGGGGATTTGGAAAGCGAGGGTGAGGAAGAGGAGGGTGAAAGTGAGTCTTTAAAGTCCTCGGAGGAGAGAGGGGAGAGTGAGGGTGAGGGTGAGACAGAGGGAGGAGAAGAGGAGGAGGAGGAAGAGGAGGAGGAGAAACAGCAGGATAGTGCTGAGGAGGAGGAGCAGGAGAGTAGTGAGGAAGAAGAGAGTGAAAATGAAGAGGAAGGTGAAGAGGAGGAGGGGGAGGATAGTGAACATGAAGAGGAGGAAGAAGCAGAGGAAGAGAGTGCTGAGGAAGAGGCAGAAGAGGAAAAAGAGAGTGACGAAGAAGTGGCGGAGGAAGAAGAGGCTGAAGAGGAGGGAGGAAGAGGCCTGAAAGAGGAGGATGGTTGATAACAAAAAAGATTGAGGAGGAGGAAGGAAAGAGAAGAAGAAGAGGAGGAGGAGGAGGAAGGAGGAGGAAGAAGAAGAGGAGGTTGTTGAAAATAAAAAATCAGTTCAAGTCAAAAGACAAAGTACTAAATCTAAAAGTAAACTCAGGTCAGGGGTCAAAGGTCAGGCAGCAGGTGAGTCGGAGGAGTTTTGGGACGATGTGTTACCTCAGTACCTGAACCTGAAATAACAAACCCCTCAAACATACTCAGCTTACAGTAACGAGCAGAGGAAGATGAAGAGGAAGTGGCTTCTCCTCAGAAACATCAATAACTAAGAATGAATGAGTAAAGCAGCAAACAGCTGTTCAGGTTGAAGCTCCTGCTGACCAACCCAGGGAGTATTATTACCCACTCTACTGAGCTTTATTGTTTGTCTGTTTTTAACCTGCTGGTTTTGTGCTTCTATATTAGTATTTATATGTTTGAGGCCAGTGTTTGCTCTGTTTACGGTGGCAACTTCTGATCACAGTGCCTTTCTGCTCCTATTTCTCTCATTTCATCAGTTCACATAAGATTCCTGCGCTGCTTCTCTCATGTCTTACTCAGAACTGCTTCTGTTGTTACATAATTGCTGTTATGTAACTGATGTTGTTTACTGATAAAATGTGTCTCAAGTTTTGCTTTTAAAGTCTTTGTTTACTTCTTTTTGTGGCAGCTTAAAGATGGATATATCTTGGTTGAACAATAGTTAGTTGTTCTGCTCATAATGATGCAGTATGGGACATTTTCTGTTGTATTTTGTTGCAGCTCAGTATTACAGAAACCTTTAAGCACTGATCTGCAATGCCACCGCAGTGAAGAGTAGCCATTATGGTAGGATTGGTGTGCAGTATATTTAAACAGAACGCTCTTAAATATTCTGACAGCTTTCATCTCTGGCAGTTATGTGGGATTATTCTTTTATATCCTTTCTTCTTTCTTTTTCTGTTTCTGTCTTTTTGTTCTTGTGTTTTTAATAAATAATTGTGTTTATTATTGTCATGTTATTGGTTGTTTTTAAAGTATGAGGACTATAAAATGAATTTGGGATGGAGGCTGTTACTCAAAGGGAAGACTTTCTGCCTGTTTCTGAATGTTTCTGTATCTTTCTCCTGTATACTGTGTCTACCTGAGACTGTAAGTGAAGCTAAAGGGGAACGAAGGTGACAGGTTGTAGTAACACCTCACAGAAACACAAAGATCTGTGGGCAGAGCTCATAATTTAAGTGACTGTGATGTGAAGTCAGCTCATTGTGATTACATTCATTAAGGTAAAAGAAAAAAAAAACTTTTAAGAATAAAGTTGTAGTATTTTGAATGACCTTCTGATGCTGAAGTCAACATTTCATGCAGTCTTCCTCCAATCTCTGATAATAAAGAACTTTTGGAAACCGTCACATCGCTTTGTTTTCACATGAAATTCATAGGTCAAATATTGAATATTTTCAGATATATTATCATTGTCGTCCATCCTTTTCGTCAAATTTCCATAAACTCAGATGTCTGATGCTTTCCCACTCACCCAGCCTTTCACACTCAGGCGGGGCTCGCTTTCTTCTTCCAGTCTTTGTAATCCCTCCTGTAATCCCTTCCCATCATTCCCTGCTGTAGTCGGGAGAAGCTCACCGCTGCTCGTCTTTGTTTAAAGAGTTTTGTGCTGTTTGTTCAGAGAGAGCAGATCGAGGTGGGAAAATGAA